TTCCATTCGTAAATAATTGAGATGATTTGAATTTCAAAAATCGATATTGGCCTTGCAAAAAATTTTGGGGTGGTTGCGCCACCACTACCCTAGATGATGCGGTTTATGAGCGCGCAGAAATTTTGTGAAGCATTTCTAGGAAATTTTCAAAGTGCGTTCAAAAATTACCTGGTCCTGAACAGCGAATTCAAGCAGCCATGGCTAAGACGATAAACAATCCTCTCGTCAATAAAATCAACCCGTAGTAGACTACCTGGAATTTTCCATCACTGAGATTTACCACACGGTTAAAGCTTCTTACCCAAAGCTTCTATAATCCTGTCAAGTAGCAGCGGTGGAAAGCCAGCCGATACGCCTAGCCTAGTCATCAAATCGACATTGCTCGAAAGAAGATCGTAAAGTTCGAGTCGAGTCAGACCATGCATTGCCAATACTACATATGTACAGAAAGACTGCACTGGCAATCCGCCAAGTTCAGCTTCGATTCGCTCGAGACGTCCTGAAAAGAAAAAATCACAGTAAATTTTCTTTGTGACTAAAAGTTGAAAATTCAGAGATTCCTGCAAATGAAGGAACAGTATACTGTATATGCATCAAAAGAATCAAGTTGTTTGACTTCTATTTTTGCGTGGGGCGTGGCCACTTCCCTGATTGGTCCGAGCGCGCACCAATAGCAGGTCTTTGCCACGCCCACTAGTTAAATCAAGTTGATGCTTACCTTGTACTCCCCCAGTCATAACGCCATGTCTTCTCAACAGCAATTCATCAAGCAATATTTCGCCTACGATAATATTCTGGTTGCTGCCAGTAAGCTAAAAATACACCGATATGCTCTGCTCTACGGCCAAATCTCGCTCTACAGCCAAAGCTACCTGCTGCTTTATAGTCGACCATTGTTCACTGCTGATAACTCTATCGTTAACCTTCCTCTTGACTATTTCGATAATTTCATTCTCGTTGGGAGCATCGATATTGAAGGTCTGGGTTACGGTATACAAAGTGGATATGGGCGAAACATTTGAGGCGGTCAT